TGCATGACTTTTTTTTTTGTCTAGGAGATATTTAGATGTGATCTAGGGTGTGTTTGGTTACATTGCCAATCCAGCCTGGCCCGGCGAGTCTGGCTTTATTGAGCCGGTTTAAGGCGATGCAGGCCAAAAAAAACCAGATGCACATAGTTTGGTTGTCTGCATACCCCTAGTTGCATGAGACAACCATTTTCGACCCGGCGTTTGGTTGCCCGTATTGCATTAGGCGCATATATGACATGGTGTTTGGTTGCAATCTGCATAAAGTGTTGTCACCACTTCTAACTAGTGGTGAGCTTACCACACATAATCTAAACATGTAGCGCCAGCTACTTAAACAAATGACAGTTCATCCTAACTACTATCAAATGACAGTTCAAATTATTAAGAGCCATTGGCTAAATAGAGGATAGTTCATCGGTGTTGCTGCTACCAGATCTTCCTCTTCCTCTTCTTCTGCTACTACTGCTGCTTCTTCTTCTTCTTCTTCCATCTTCTTCAAATCCTGCACTGACCTCTGTTAAGCCACATCGCCTCTGCCCACTCCAACCTTTTGTTATTCCAAGCTTCATTGTCAAATGCCTCCACACCATGGCCGGAGCAAACAATATCATCAGGCTCGACCTCTTCCTCCTCAGGCACGTGTTCATCAAAGCCCCACTGGAGGATCCAGTTATGCAAAATGCAACAAGCAAGAACTAGCTTAACCTGAGTGGAGTATGGGTGGAATGGCTTCTGATCCAGGATCTTAAACCTATTCTTCAGAGCTCCAAATGCCCTCTCAACAGTTACTCTAAGACTGGAGTGTCTGAGATTAAACAACTCCTGTGCAGTTCTAGGATAGTTCCTACCAGAGAACTCGTTGAGATGGTACCTGGTTTTCCTGAAGGGTGGAAGAATACCCGACCGACATGCATAGCCAGCATCTCCTAGGTAGAACTTGCCATCGGGATGTTGATCCCATCAGGTCGACTCATGATGTCAGTGAGAATGTTAGCATCATGCGCTGACCCCTCCCAGCCAGCTAACACATATGTGAACTTCAGATCAAAGTCAACAGCAGCAAGCACATTCTGGCTTGTGTAGTGCTTCCTCCCCTGTATGCTGCAGACTGTGACCTAGGAACTCTGGCAGTGACATAAGTACCATCTATTGCCCCAATGCAATCCTGAAAATGGCATCACAAGCCTATGTTAGTGCTCAACTTGAACAATACAAGCATATCAAGCCATGAATAGTGTATATTGTCAATGCTCACCTTGAAGTATGGATACCATCTTGGGCTTCCGTGAATCTTGTGTGGAGTCTGACCAGATTGTCTCCTGATCATCTCTCCTCTAAGCTCCCCAATAGCAAAAAGAACTTGCTTGAAGTACCTAAGAGGTGGTCTCCATTGATCTCTTGAACGTGTTGTGAATGACCCTAAACCTCTGGTTATGACCAACAACATGGAGGAACATGGCCACTTGCTCTTCGACACTGGTGTTGATGCTATCTCGTAGCAGCCCCTTGCTCCTGAAGGTCTCGACAAGCCTGGCAAATGGTGATCTTTTCATTCGAAGCATCCACAGAGTCTCGATGTCATTGCAGTTGTAGATGTAGTTCAGATTTGGATCCTCTCCTATTCCCGGGAAAATAATGGACCATAGCGGATCAAAGGTCTCCCAGCATGACGAACAACTCTCTGGTGCATGAACATGAACCATGCCTGAATCACACTAATCAGTGCTGCTGCCTGGATTATCAGCCTCATCCGTGTGTCCATAACCTAGTCGACATCGACGGTTCGTTCAGTGGGAAACAGATCCTACACCTAGCCTAACGGCCTAAGCACTGAGATAACAAAGGGGGAAGGGGTGCTGCTTACCGGCATCGGAGATGAGGACGACTTAGGGGGAGCCATGGCACATACAAGGTCGAGCAGACGGTGGCCAACAGCAAGGGGAGCACCAGATCTGCGGCAAACGCCGCCGCCTCTGCCCCCTCTAGCGTAAATCTGAAATCGCAGCCGCCGTCGGTGGTGAGGTAGTAGGGAAGAAAGGGGGACAATGGCTATGGGTGAGCGAGTGAAAGGGGGGTGAGGCTAGATTTGGCGTCGGGACGACGCGCCAGATTTCCATCTCCCGCCATCCCCCCTCGCCCTCGCCTCGCACCCGCCCGTGCGACCACACGCCGCACTCAGCCTGGCTCGTGAGAAACTGCTGATCTGAGCGTTTCCAGCGAGCCAGGCTCTGGGCTGCTTTGAAAAGCATGCGATGCAGGCCCAACAGTGAAACCAAGCAATCAAACAGGCCTCTTCCTTCCCGTGCGGGTCTGGTTGTGCTCGATGCGGGCAACCAAACATGCCCCTAAGTATTTTACATCTATGTGACCCGGTCAAATATTTAAAACAGAAAAAATGTTTGCATAAATCTTCATATATGAGATGGCCTAAAATGAAAAAGTGTCCAATATCAAAAATCGCCGTGTGGATGAAAAATGTTTGGGTCATCACTATCCGATCTCATCTCGCGGACCCAAATTCTACTTGAATTGCCAATTTTTTGTATTCAGAGTACTGTTTGGCCGACTATGACTCCAAGACGATCTCAGATGAATGAGTGTTATATATGGACCGTCTTCGTCGCGTCGAGCTAACCAATTTTAATATGCAAAGCATCTCAATCTGAGGTCATATGCAAAAATTAGAGCTGATGCACTCCGGACCGACTATGAGTAAAAAATAGCCCGGGACATCACACACCCGTGTGGGTGATGACTGATGGTTCGCACCAGCTACCTCGGCCCTCAAGATGCTCTTCAATTAAAAAATGTTCAACATGAAAATTGTTCGCCTCGTTGAAATAGTTAAATTTGCTTTTGGGCTCATCTTCATCTAAGGTCGTTTATGGACCGTGGGTCCCAAAAACCTAATTGTTATCTCGGACTTACCTAAATCTGAGTTCATTTAATTTTGAAAAGATTTAGACGGGATTGGAAGTCATTCTCTTGTATGGGAAGTCCAACCGCCTCATAAATAAATATAAAATAGATGAGAGGTGACGGTCGATCGAACAATACACAATCGCGAAACCCATCTACTTTTTAACCTAGTTTTACATCTCTTCATTTTTTTTTCTCGTTCTTTGTGTTGAAGGGCAGCGATCATGGAGGCTCTAGGGGCGGGCGAACCGAACTAGAGAAATACATAGCCGCCGCGTGTCCAGACAGGGCCCCTTCTGGGTGTGTGGGGTTTCGTGTCCTCAAAAGTTCTCGCCGGCCATCCTGCATATCGCGCTTCCGGCGAGGCTCCTTCGACATGAGATGTGGTGCACCGACGTTGAAGGTACACGGTGACGTGTTCGTGTGCGAACAAGAACTTAGATGTGCAATATTTAATTATGGCATATATGTTCTTTAGCAAAACGTAGTCATTTAGTAGCAGTCTAGTAGACTAGCCTTTTAGTGGAGTAAGAGCATCTACAACTGGGCACCTCAAACCCCCCTCACACACCCGGTCGTACAGCCTGGTCTGTGACCGGTCAGAAATATCTGACCCAGACGGACGCCTCAAACCGGCCTCAAACGTCCGGACTGACTGGCACCCCCATATCCAGCCCAAATATGCGGCGGATATGGGGAGGCCCGGGCGCGTCCGCCATGGCGGACCCGACCCACGCTGGCCCAACTGACCCCACATATATTCGTCCCCATCCTCTCCCGGGACCAAAACCTAGCCACTTCATTCCACCCCCCTTCACTCCACTGCGCCACCCAAGCTCCCGTCCCGCGATCTCTGGCCTTCTCTGGCATGGCGGGTAGCAGATCTGACTCTGACCAGTCCGGATCCATCGACTGGGGTATCGTCCCGTGCGGGTTGGAGGAGGCACTGGTCGTCCGCGTTACACTCTGCCACTCTCGGGAGGATAGCACCCGACCGACAACGGTTCTATCTGACGCAAGTCCATGGTGTCGGCGCATCGGGCACTCGGATCCTCCAGGGCTGGATCATCACGGTCCTTCTGGGAGCCTTTCAATCTTCCTTTCCCCATCATGGGTCCGTCAGAATATGAGTGCTACCGGGACCGGTGTGCCCACCGTTGGAAGGAGAGGATGAGGGCGGCCGAGGCCCACCTCGCTGCCAACATGACGGAGGTGGAAACGGGTGATGTGGCGGCGCGGGCGACCAGAGAGGAGGAAGCCATCCGCGCCCGTATTGTAAATAAGCAGCAGCAGAGGAAAACATGCACCCTCGCCCGAGTGCAGAATCGGGCGGTCCGTGCCATGGCCGGACTGCCCCCCAAGGAGGAGAATGAGGACAGCGACGGGTTGGACAGCTTCGGCGACGAACAGATCCGGCTCGATTCCTACTGCATCTTCGACCGCTACTTCCACGAGAAGGGCGGCAAGGGCACCGGAAATGGCAAACGCAGCCGTGGATGATCTTCTCCATAGTTAGCATGTATAGGTTAAACATGTCAAATTTTGGTAGTCCCATGGCATATTTTGATGTAGTAGTCGGAAGATGTGTGTAATGTATCGTTTGCATAGTTGCATCAGTTTGTATGGATTTAAGGTATATTAATTGGTGTCCGGTTGTGAGAAGCGAAATTTAAGATGTGACCGGGCAGTGCGAGCGGACATTTCCTAAACGCGTCCGCGGACGTTTCAGGTACGGATTTGCGTAGTCCGGCTCTAAGATAACATCGTGGAGTCAGCATCCGCGTAAACCGTGGACGTGCCACGGCCGGCGGCACACGCTGCCCTGCCAGGCGCATAGCGTATAGAGCTGGTTTGGGGCGTCCGGCGGCCGTAGATGCTCTAAGGTAACGTCGTGGAGTCAGCATCCGCTTCAAGCCTCGACCTGCCACAGCCGGCGGCGCAGACATGATGACTGTATATATAGTTACACGAGCCTTCAAACCCAAAACTCTCACGCCAAAACGCACAAAAGAGCCTTCAAGTTGCACAGTGTCATCGATCGATCTCACCGTATCAAGCTAGCATAGGGCAGCGGAGCGATCATGATCACGGGCTCGGCGGTGTACCAAGTGGTGGAGGCGATGGCGCCGCTGTACACGGCGGCGGCGCTGGGCTACGCGTCGGTGCGGTGGCTCAAGGCCTTCTCCGAGGAGCAGTGCGCGGGGATCAACCGCTTCGTCGCCACCTACGCCATGCCGGCGCTCATCTTCGACATGGTCTCCACCAACGATCCCTACGCCATGAACGGCCGCCTCGTGGCCGCCGACACGCTGCAGAAAGGGGTCATGCTGCTCGGCCTCGTGGCGTGGGCGGCGTGGTCATCCCCCCGCCGCCGCGACACATCTGCCGGCAACGGCAAGGTTGCGGCCTCGCCGCTGCAGTGGGTGGTCACCGCCTTCTCCATGGCGCAGCTGCCCAGCACCATCGTCATGGGCGTGCCGCTCCTCGGCGCCCTGTACGGACCCACGTCCAAGGACCTCATGAAACAGATCGTCGTGATGCAGCTCTGCGTCTGGTACAACGTCGTCATCTTCATGTACGAGTACATGGCGGCGAAGGATGGCAGCACCAAGGTCGGCCCCGCCCCAGCGTCGCCGGAGAACGTTGAAAGCACGGAGGTCCAGGCGGCACAACAAGGCATGGCCGCGGCCAGCCAGACAACGTCGACCGCGGTCGTGGGAGAGGCGAGTCCGACTCATGGTGCAAATGCCGAGGTCGCGGAGGCAGAGGATGTCGCGTTGCCGCCACCTCCATCGATGAGCCATGTCGCTTTTGTGACAGGGAAAAAGGTTCTCAAGATCCCAAACACATATGCTACCTTCCTTGGCCTCTTTTGGGCTCTAATCGCATTCAAGTAAGTCCCTTCCTTTCAGAGTTCATTCATACTCCACTTGGCAGTAGTTTAGCGCGGTGCGTCAGCGGGAAATGGTTTCCATCATCTTCAAAAGTGCCCTGAAGATAGATTGATCAGCAAACTAAGAAATTTAATTAGGGGGGTTACAAGCATAGCAATGAGAGGACATCTCTCGCGACCGCATCGCCCCCGCGGGCGACCGGTCGCGCCCCGATTCTCCTTCCGCCAGCTTCCTCTCCCTCTCTCCCCCTCCCGCAGGGCGCCGAGGGGTGCTCCCTAGGCGGCGGCGGTCCGGCGTGGTGGCGGGGATTCCTGGCGCGGCGCGGGAGATCGGCTGGACGGCGGTGTCGCCGTTGGCGGCGGGGTGGCGCGGCGGCGCGGCCAGGCGGCGCCCGCTCGGCCCAGATCTGGGCCTTTCGGGCCCCATCTGGGTCTGGGCGGGCCGACAGCAGGGCGGGTCGGTGGCGTGGCTTCCAGGAGGCGGGGAAGCGGCGATGGGCGTTGGGGTGCTGGCGCCGGCCTGCTGCAGCGCGGCCGGCGGGGCTTAGCGGGCTCGATTTGGGCCTGGCCGGGCCGGGGGTGGCCCGGTATGCCCTGCTGCTGCGTCCGGACGGCGACCGCAGATGGAATTGTTTAGCGTGTATCACAAAAATATTCAATATTTATTTAAATATTGTTCGGTGTATATTAGAAAAATGTTTAATATGAATTTAAATATTTGTTCAGCGTATAAAGCAAAACTGTTCGGTGTGTATTTTAGAATTGTACATCAGATGGAATTTCCAAAATTTTGTCCATATGTTCAATAATTTTTCACGTTTTAAAAGTTTGTTTCAATTTCGAAAAAAATTCACAATTTTCAAACATTATTCAAATTTTTTAAGGAAATTTGTTCACATTTTTTCGAATAAATATTGGAAAATTTGAAAAATAATGGATTTGTCGGTGTACATAGTTCTTTAACTGTACCGTCACATTTTAGCCATAACTGTTCGCTTGCTCCAGTGGCTCGCAGTTCACACAAGGACTATAGTATACTTGTAGGATGCCTCCGAGATGGTCATGGTGGACACATGGGCAACTGTTTGGGCTGCTTAAGTGCTCGTTTCTTTGATACCTGCAAACGGCCGCACATCCCTCCCTCCCTGCTGGGCCGGTCCATTTCGTTGGTTTTTTTCTTTTAAAACCATGCAAAAAAGTCACGCGCGTGATGATTCGAACTTGCGACCACCTTTTCTATCCAAAATGCACTAGCCACTCACCATAACTCACTTGTTATGGCTGCTGATATCTTTTTCCTCTTTTCTTTTGTGTTTTCTTTAATCTTCTTTTCCTTTTCTTTCACTTGTTTTTAAAAATGCATGGACCATTTCAAATTCAATGATTAGTTTTTTTTTGTCAAAATCAACGAATTTTTTTTCTAATTCGATGAGCTTGTTTCAAAACCAATGATTTTTTGTATTTGTGAACTTTTTTTGACAACTCGTGAAATTTTTTGAATTCACGATTAAATTTTCAGCATCAAAATGGTGAATTCATTTTTCAAAATCGGTGATTTTTTTTAAAAAAATGATGATATTTTTTGAATTTTCTGAACTTTTCTGCAAAATTGATGAACTTTTCAAATTCATGTTTTTATTAAAATTTGATGATTTATTTTTTCAAACTCTTGAAGTTTTTCAAAATTCAATGAAACTTTTTTCGAAACCGGTGAACTTTTTTCAAATTCCATTAATCTTTTGAAAATTTTGAACTTCTTTTCCATGCTGGTGAACTTTTTTATTGCAAATGTATGATCTTTTTCAAATGTTTTATATGGGTACAAAATATATGTTAATGTTGTCCTAAAAGAAGTACTCCATCCGTCCCAAATAAGTGTCTCAAGCTTAGTGCAGAGGGAGTATTAAATATCACTGTTTTTTGGTGGTTATGGCGTTGAGTCTTTGGGTGACGACGTTGGCATGCGGGTTCGAATCCCACGTGTCCCATATTGACGCTGAAAATATATTTTTTTTCTTCGCGTATGTTTTCAAGGAGGTTACGGGCCGGCCCACTAGGTGCCGCCAACGAGCGCCTGGAGCGCCAAGCGGCTCTGAATGGGCCAAATAGGAGGTCCCTTTAGTTATTTTTTTAGGGGACGGTCCCTTTAGTTAGTATACTACTGCATCGATTAGTATTATTTTTGGGTTAGTTACTCTAAGTAGCTATTTTCAATGACCATTAGCCCATATTAATATAATAGTGCTAATATATGGCCTGCCGGAGATTGAGGAGGCTCAATCATTGGGAGGCCTCCTACCTAGCTCTTTCCAATGTCTTCTGTTGCTTGGTCTGCTAGGCAAAAACCATGCCGACATTTTATTATATTTTGAAAAAAAAACATCAACATTTACCATTGACCGCTGAACAACGACCATAGACTTTTCAAAAAAGTGGATGGATTTAAATTCTTATGAGATAGGTTCGCGAATTTCGAAAAAATCATGTATTGCAAAAAGTTCAAATTTAAAACTATATGTTTTCTTAAAAATTTCGTGAATTTGTGAAAATTTCACTATGTTTTTTAAAGAAACACAGAATTTAAATAAACATCACAATTATTTAGGAATAATCACAAATTCGAAAAAGTTAACCAATACAAAAAACAAATAATGGATTTGAAAGCAGATCATCAATATTCATTTTTTATGAATTTGGAAAGTTCATGGATTTCAAAAAGTGCATGGATTTGAATTCTTTTGAAAAAGATTCATTAATTTCAAAAACAAATCATGAACTTCAAAAGGTTCAAATTTAAAACTCCAAGTGTTCGTAAAAATTTTACGAATTTGAAAAAAGTTCACAAATTTCTGTATAAAAAACATAAAAAATCACAAGTCTTTAAAAGTGACAATAAATTTATAAAAATAATCACAAATTAATAAGAGTTTACAACGAATCACGGATTTTAAAAAGTTCATTGAAGAAAAAAAATGATGAATTGCACAAAAATTTCACGGATTTCAAAAAATATTGATTTTGATAAAAGTTCATAAATCTAAAACAGTTTATGAATAAAAAAAAGTTCACAGATTTTTCAAAGATTGTGGATTTTGAAAAATGACATCTAATCGGAAACAAAAGTTTGCAAATTTCAAAATTTTCATGGATTTTGCAAAAAAGTTCTTAAATTTTGAAAAGTGTTCATGTATTTGCAAAAAATCATGAATCCCCAGAAAAGCTCACGGATGTGAATTATTTAGCGAATTTAATAAAAAGGTCATGATTTTTTAAAAAAGTTGCGGATTTTAAAAGGAAAAGGAAATCTCAAAAGAAAGAGAAAGAGAAAAGGAAAAAAGCTGAAGAAAACCGGCCAACAAAACAAAAAATTAAGGAATCAAACAGGGAAACCACGATGTTTTTTAGCTGTATATTTGAAGAAGAAGAAAAAGAAGAAGAAGAAGAAGAAGAAGAAGAAGAAGAAGAAGAAGAAGAAGAACAACAACAACAACAACAACAAAGAAGTAAACTAAGCACAACAGTTAAGGTGCCCACTTGGTTACTGCGGTTTGTACTAAGGTGAAGTGGGTGTGCCCTGGTTGGCGAAACAGACTATAACCAGCGCTTAAGGCGCGGAATGTGACCGGGGGTTCATTGAGAGGGGTGTTAACCCCTGCGGCCCTGCCCCCCTCCCCCCTCCCCGGGCCGCCACTGCGTGTTCGCCCTTGATTTCAAGATGGAGACCGTGTGTGCTACATGTGACAAAGAAGATAAGTTTGGGGAGGCAAAGAGGCCAACCAAGAGAGGGGGTATTCTTTCTCACGTTTGAGTATTTCACTGGCAACTAAATCTTTCTTTCCCTTCAACCGATTCTCGTGTAGCCCCGAGTTCGAAGATGGTGGAGCTGTGGTGAGCGCCAATGAGGCTTCGATAATGTGCGACTTGGAGCGTGTGGAGGGGGGTCCGAGGGCTAATTGGGTGAGTGAGGGGGTGGGCTCGCCGCAGAAATTCCGGTGCCTCGAGAGGTTTAGGTATATGGCCACGGGGAGGACAAGGTGCCAAGGCACGTGTGATAGCACCACAGTCTGTTTGTCATGGGAGGTTTGAGGAACACGATGAATAGACATGTGAGGAAGAAGAAAGTCATCCAGCCGTTTAGGTCACATCCAATGGCTAAGAGAAATCGACTGCCACACAAAAACAACATGCGCCAGATAGATAGGCGGCCACATTCATTTTTCTGCTTTTGATCGATTTTGTTTGTGTTTTTTATGTACCTACGCACAAGTTGCTACATGTTATATTGTTATGCACAAATTAAGTCATATGATCAGGAGAAAACCGATTGCTTGTAGAGGATATCGGGCTAGCATAGAAATCAAAATTTCGATTGCTAGCTCTTAATAAATGTAAGGATCTCACTTCTCTAATTCAACTCGATCTAAGGTTTGAGAGAGAGAAAGGGGAAAAGTTTGCTGATCCACCCAGCCACCCACACAACAATTCGAATTACAACGAGCTAGCTACCCAGCCCTGGCCGAAGCCACCAACTTCCTGTCCAAGTCTGATGAAAAAAGAAGAAGAGCTATTTAAAAAAGGAAGTCGTTACACCCTTACCAAGCCCAGTTCAGACTTGCAAGCCACTGGGAAAGTCTACGTACGCGAGTGGGCCAACCTGAAGGCCCACGAGTTGAATCACAGTCTTCCCGCCTTTGCCGTTGACTGAACTTGATAGTTAGCTCTGCATTACACTCAGTGAGGGTGCTGGCATAATACTATGCATGTCAGTATGCAAAAAAATATCATCAATTAACACTACTATACCGTGGTCATTATTTGAGCAAGTTATGTTTTGAGAAAGGCGTGCCTGAGCCACAATTATTTTTTTGTAGGAATGGCGTTGATGTTGGGTTTGCTGATTGATCAACTCACTTTCAATCTAAAACTTAAGAACTATTTAAATGTTTTTGGATATTTAACCTTTCATTTCTCTCCTGTGATGTATTCACTTTTAAAATATAGATAGATGTAAATATATGCAATTTCTCCTCATCCGTTAATTGCCGCAATGCGGCCATGGCTACTTATTTTCGCAGGTGTAGAATCAAGATGCCGAAAATCATCGTTGACTCTTTGTTCACCATACAGACAACAACAGTTGGCCTAAGCATGTTTTCATCAGGTTCGTCAATCCCTTGCTTAGATATGGATTTCAATGACCCGTGTATTTATCATCATGTCCACCCTTTGTTAACAAAAATCCGTATTTCAGGGACGTTCATGGCGCGACAGCCACAGTTTATTCCATGCGGCTATGTGATCGCTTTGGTTTCAATGATCCTCAAGTTTCTGATAGGCCCGATGGCGATGCTGCTCGCGTCATTCGCTATTGGCATGAAGGGTACCCTATTGCGCATTGCAGTTATACAGGTGAGGACATCACCCTGTCATGCTATTTTTCTTCTTCTATTTTCCCCGATAAATAGAGTTTATTAATATCTAGACAATAAGACAATTTTTCTTTATGCAACGTGGAAGATATGACCTAGACATTTCACATCTTAGGATAATGCCTTCAATAAGGATCATCATGTCAACACCGATGTGCTAGATAGAAAGCTAAACATACAATTTTCACATGAAGCAACACCGTCAACCTCCTTAAAGTCATGTACCACCGTACCAACTTGCCGAGCCAATATTAACAAAAAGGACTAAGGCCATTACATTCCAATCATTGAGAGAACCAAAGTCTTCTTCCTCCTCCGTTGACATACCTCACAACCTTAAACAGACCTAACACAAAGAATGCTTATATACTTGCTTAGAGATTCTCTTGTGCAAATTTGGCCTTCCATTTATCTGTGGATACGTACGGACTTTGGACAGCTTCGTGTGTGTTCACTCCTCTTCCCCTTTTGTCCGAGTACACGATGGCACTCCCCAAGATTGCCTTCCCCCGCCATTTCTGGTATTTCATAGAACACTTTGTGCACATCAGCAGCCTAGCACGCAGAGGACACACCAGAGCACGCACGTGCACACACATGCACCCACGTGTGCGCACGCGCGGCCACGCACGCACACATGCTGAGGAGAACATGCACACAAATAGGGCACACACACACACACCGAGGAGAGAATGTACACGACTAGGAAGGAGCCTCCTCCTGCAGCAGGCAAACATGCAACAAAGCGCCTCCTCCAACAGCATGCTAACACGCAGCAAACACGTGACTGAAGCACACACATGCAAGAAACACGCGATCGGAGCACGCAATGCTATGGGCGCGGCCAACTCTCCCTCCAGCGTGACACCGTGGGGTAGTCGATGCGCCCACGACCGACGCTCCCTCCCACATGACATCGTGGATGAGGTGGCACTCCTTTTGCGCGACACGGGCGCCCTTTCACAGGACACATGCACGCCACATCACCATGTTGAGTTGCGTGAGTGGCCTCGCTCAGGAAGGGTGTGTGTCGTCTGGGAGGAGTGAGTCTGGTGTGCTCTTGCCAGGGCCTCTCTTCTCCGCTTGCCTAGGTGGAAGCAGCTCAAGGCCCGCAGACCGAGAGGCTTTGCACAAACTCCGATGGCAGTCCTGTGTGGAGTCGGACACAATGGGGAGAGGGAAAGAGAGAAAGGAGAGACAGACGGAGAAGAGGAAAGGGTGACTGCATATGGGGCTTAAGTGGGCTAGGTAGAATTTAGGTTGTCGTGGCGGGTGTGTCTGAACGGCCCATATGGGCTGGGTTTGGAGGCTGTCGGACAGTCCAAACATTTATGGGTGGAGTTTCAGGTCCCCGTTGAAGAGGCTTTTATTGTTCGGGCTGTCCACCCGAACATATGGGGAGGATTTGGGGACCTCAACCAGAGATGCTCTTATGCATCCTATCTGGAAAGATGCAAAAAAGCATCCTATTTGGACTACTCAGAGAGTGTCCGATCACCACTGCAATCTGTTGGGACCCATATTTTTGTCCGATCACTGTTTCAGTCTGTTGGAACCCACATTTCGTGAAACTTGTTAGTGTCTAAGTACACGATAGAAGGAGCGAATATGATAGCCAATCAAGAAATTGGACAGTTATAGCACAGATTGTATTGGACTGTAAAGGGAATTAGTTGTGTACACACAAAATGTTTATCCTTGTTTAATTATTGCTCATGATATATATAGGAAAATCCTGTTTTCTAACCAAGGTTTCTCACGCGCTGCACACAGGCGGCACTCCCTTTGTCCGTGATTTCATTTGTGTATGCTAAAGAGTACAAGGTCCATGCAGATATCATGAGCACTGGGTTTGTTTCTTTACCCCAGATATCCTTTCCTCATTTATATGATTTTCATCTGAGCAACTGCATTTGGTTTTGTGCTTTCTAGGGTAATCCTCGGGATATTTATCTTGCTTCCTGTCACCATTGTGTACTACATTCTATTGGAGCTGTGATCGAGGTATCAAGATCGATGTGACCAAAGCATGAATGTGTTGTACATAGAAGGCATGCCATACACCACATTTGAAGAGATCAAATGGATTAATTGCGTGACATGGTGGACCAGAAGCACTACAAAAAAATACACTTCCATGATGATACGTGTTTGTCACAGTAGGTCGTGTTTTCTGTCATGCATGTACATCCATGACAAATTTATGACAGAATCAAGATAGTCATACCTGTGCTGTCGTAGAAGTGTTCCATGACATTACCAAAATTATCATCACGGAAGTGTTTACTTCCATGACGATAAATCGCGCGTCACAGAAGTGCTTTCGTCAAGGGTGACCGACACGTGGCATCCACCGTAACAGAACACCGTTAAGCTATCGGGGCGGGTTTTGGATTCGATAACCCGTTAACAACCCCGACCAATGGGGATTTTCCACGTGTAAAATCATCATTGGCTGGAGGAAACACGTGTCGGCTCATCGCCGGGACAGATGCCATCCACTCATTGGACAGAAGGCGCCTATGATACGTCGATATGTGACACAACCCAACAGAGGCCCATTCCTGTGAAAAGGCCGGCCCGTTTGACTTGGTCAAAAGGCAGCGGGCCGGCCCATGGAAAGCCTATTAACGGCATGTTCGCATATAGCCCATTTACAGCGCGCTAACCCAAGGCCCGTTATGCCCTATTCGAATTAGGCCCAGAAGCGTCATCTGGGCCATCCAATATGATTCCAGTCCGTTTTCACTTCTGGCCCAGGTATGGCCCATGACGTCTTTCGGCCCATATGAGGCCCTACGTAACTCTTGGCCTATTAATGGCCCGTGGTGAAACTGGCCCGTAATGAATAGTGTGTCACTTTACACCCATTAACGCCCCGTGGTGAAACTGGCCCGTAAAGAACAGTGTATCACTTTATACGCATTAACGGCCCGTTATTACGGTGGGCCGTTACCAGCCCATGTTATCTTTCGGCCTTCTCAGAGGCCATTTATTCTTGGGCTCATTTCTAGCATTCGTTTATTTATGGCCCGTTACTATCATTTTCTGTTTGTGGGCCAAATTCAGCCCGTGGTTACAGTCGGCCCGTTTGTGGTCCGTTAATACGTTGGGCCATTTTCATAGCGTCACCAAATACAGCCTATTAACGATGGCCCGTTATGGTCGGCCCATGAACGGAGGATTCCGACTCTAGCCCGTTTACTGCCTGAATGCGGTCTGTTTGGCCAATCGATCATACGGCCCGTATAAGGCCCATTGATGATACGGCCCATAGAAGACCCATTGTTTCTATGGCCCGTAGAAGGCCCACTGCTTCTACGGTCCATAGAAGGCCCACTGCTTCTACGGCCCATAGAAGGCCCACTGTTTCTACGGCCCGTAGGAGGCGCAATCTCACTACAGTAAATATTAGCCCATGGTTATTATGGCCTAGTTTTTAAAAAATAGGTTATTACAGCCACTAGCAAACCACAGAAAAAGAACTGCACTGACTACAAGCAAACAAATAAACAAGACAACAAGGAAATAAATAAGCAAGCAACTTACACTAGGCTATCACGGCTATTACACATATTACATTCACTGGGCATCAAAGTTCACCACCAGTGCAAATATAGGGAACACAGCAGCATATAAACGCCGCAGCAAAATGAGTATAGAACTGAAACCACTTCAGAAGAGCTCAAGAAACAATATCCTTGGTACCCATAATGCTGGCAAGATGCTTAGCAAGCTTATTAACTTTCTCTTGTTTGGCGCTTAAATCCTCCAGCGCTTGCTGTTGCACCAGAAAGTATGCATCTGAATTCTACAGGGACTTCCTCAGTCCTTCGGCTTCCTGTTGCATAACATCTGATCGATGTCTTTCAACTTGAAGTTGAGACTCAAGAAGCCGAATTGATTCAGGCAAAGAGTTCGAAGAGCTGGTGCCAGCAGTGGTAGCCAGTAACTCGAACACTACATCAAGACAGGACTTTGGGGTTGTCTCAGTGTCTTCAATATAGTTTTTATCAGCTTTCTCGGAGACCAACAGGGATGTCTCACTATCTTGAACCTTATCTACACTACTTCCTTTACCATTGCATAATAGGGCACTCTTCTCCAATATTTTATCCATATTTTAAAAGAGAAACAAACAAACACATCTCAGGTTTACAATGTAGTATATGAAACTCATTTTGGTAAATCAGTTCAAAAGTAAGGTGGACAGGATAACAGCATGAAACAAACATATATCTATGTAGTATGGTCAATGTATGGTCTATATCATTCTAGTTTATGTTGCCCAATCAAGATAGATATAGTTTAAATCATATCTATTTAAGACAAAGCAGCATAGACAGAATATAAGTGTGGGAAACTACACAGCAATAACAACACTTGTAATGTGCATGGCATGAGAACATAACTGTTTATTCAATTGAAACTGAAATCAACATAGAGCAAGTTACAACAGCAAACAGCCAAACACGTTGAAGAAACAGGTTTAAAACATACCTGTTGCGCCATTGGAGTTTTAATTACATCCTTCAAATTTGAAATTAGTTGGTATCAGTAAATACAGTGATGCAAGAGCAAAGTAGTATGAACCATAGCTACGGAACCTGACCTGAGAACAATTCTTCTTCTGCTTTAAGCGTTGACTTCGGGTTCGGAGTGATGGTCCTCGTGATTTGGGCACTGCAGTTGCCTTACTAACTGCTCGTGTTTGGGTGCTCTGTGGTGGATACGATGCTGTGTCAACGGGAACTGGGTGTCTATCTGCTGGGGTTGGGGTTAGAAGGGGTGTAGCTGGTTCTCTGTCCAACAGGGTAGGGGTACAATCTGCATGAGTGTGGGTTATGTGTGGTGGGGCTGGTTCTTGGGCAAGTACAATCGTGGTTCTATCTGCATCGACAGGTAGCACAATCTTTTCTGAAGACCGTGTTTTTACTCCCACGGATACTGCCATCACTCCCTCCAATTGAAATGGCTGATAAACAAGAAAAGTAATTGAATGTACAGACATTGTAAGATAGACAGGTGCAATGGATAGTAGGGAAGAAAACAGGGCATGAAATAATTCACATTTATGTTGTCTAAGCAAACAGAATAGCAGGACATAATTTCACATATATGATGGCTAATTAAACAGGATAGCATGACACAATTTCACATGTATGATGGCTAACTAAACAGGATAGAATGACATACTTCAAAATATGATGACTATGTAAACAGGATGACATGATATAACTATACGATGTGTCTATTAAAGTGGTTGGCATGCCATAAATCACAAACATGCCATTGATGGAAACATGATGGCATGATATAATTCATGAATAGAATGACATAATTTAAAATATGATGACTATGTAAACAGGATGAGATGATATAACTATATCATGTCTTTAGAAAATGGGTTGGCATGCCATAATTCAGATACATGCTGTCTATGTAAACATCATGGCATGATATAATTCAAATATATGATTTATATACTAAGGAAGTGAGCAGAGGGCAATCTCATATATGATGTGTCAACTAAGGAGATGGCATTCAATATTGTGTATATGATGTAAAAACTAAGCATTGCAATACAACATATGCATTATATGAGTAATATAACCCTGCCAAGTTTGAGCATACACCTCAGGGGGATAATAGGACTGGTCATCTACCTCTGAATCCTCCTCTGAAGAGCTATCTATAACCAGCAAGATATCTGCTTCAGCAGGTAGCATTGTCTGCTCTGACGACCTTGTTTTCACTCCAGATTTCTCCATCACCAATTCAAATGGCTGATGCATAGGAAGAGCAGTTGAATATACAAACATTGTCGACAAAAGCAATGAGAAATACAAAAAAAGGACGACATGATATAATTCACATATATGACGCTTGCCTAAACATCATGGCATTGCATAACTCACATACATAATGCCTTGCAACAAGATAATATTGCATAATTCACATATATAATGTCTTGCAACAAGATGGCATTGCATAATTCGCATATATGGTAATTAGACACTAAACAGGTGGCATTCACACAAAGCATGTCTAAACTAAGTAAATGACACAACAATGCAAGATACCATACGCACGATATGAGTAACATAACCCTGCCAAGTTAGGGCATGCACCTCGGGGGGGAAATATGACTGGCCATCTGTCTTTGAATCCTCCTCTAAGGAGCTATCGGTAACCAGCAAGACATGCGCTTCGTCAGATAGCATTGTCTTCTCTAAAGACCTTGTTTCCACTCCAGATTTTTCCATGACCGTGCCGAATGGCTGATGCACAGGAAGAGTAATTGAATGTACTAAAATTGTTGACAAATTTAACACGTAATAAAAAAATGATGGCATGATATAATTCACATATAAGATGACTGGCTAACCAGGGTGGCATTGCAAAATTCACATATATGATGCCTAGCTAGACAAGATGGCATTGCATGATTCACATATATGATAAAGAAACTAAACAGATGGCATTGACACAAAGCATGTCTAAACTAAGCAGATAACATCTTTAATGTATACAGTAAGCAATGCAAGGCACCATATGCATGATATTACCAACATCAGCATGCCAAGTTAGAGCGAAGACCTCATGGGGTAAATAGGAGTGGTCTTCTCCTTCTAAATCCCCCTCAGAACAGTTATCTTCCTCTTGATTACGATCCGAAATGGGTGGAGGGGGGGCTGCCTTTGCGCCCACCATGGAACGACCTTGGCATGAAATTTTATTGCCACGCAAGGCTCGTCTCTTTTGCTCTACATGATCAGTTCCATTGTGTACAATAACTGGCATGCATAGGAATAAAACATAGTGAGATTATGTAAGGAGTGCATGCACAACTCCAGAGTGATGGTAGCAAACTGTGGATAGACCCAAAACCAATGATAGCAGGCAGATAATAGCTTTAGTTAAAAAATACAGATAATGGCTCCTTTAATGTTTGTTTGCACCCAACATGAAACTCATAGTAGACACCGGAGATTAACC